TCATATTAAAAACAAATCTATTTTCACTTTAGAAATGTTTATTTTACCTCTTGAGTAATTTTCTTTGAGTTATGTAATGATTTAAGCACAATTTTACTTTCTTCCCATCGTTTAAATTTATTTTCTTCATGGGATTGTCATTATCATACAGCATTGGTCCATCCAACCAGGTAGCTTTATAAATAGACCCAAAATCTCCGTTTGTAAGATATTCAACATTGGTAAATCTTTCAAAAGAAATCCATTCAAATATATTTTTATAAAATGTTTAATTTTGTTGCATTTTTTTATGAGATTATCAATATCTTTATCTCCGCTAAACATTTCTTCGTTATAAATTCGTTTGTGATATTTGAAACAGTCACCGTAGTGCTCAAATTTACTTTTACAATCATTACATTTACTACAATCATGAGTATTCTGAACTAAGCACTCCTCGCAATGTCTATTATTTCGACAATAGAAACATTTGATACAATGATAAATGTTCGATTTCATTCTTGATTTTACTTTATAAAATGAGAATTGCTTCGTTGTCCATTACATGTACATGTACATTTATAAAGTTCCGTTCGGTTCGGATAAATCCGTGACCCGAACCGAATCCGAAACTTCGTTCCCTCTTCGGATTGTTATTTTTCAATCCAAAAAAATCGGTTCGGTTTCGGTTCGAAACGGTATAATTCGACCTGTTCGATTTTTTATTAATAGATCGCAATGGGGTGTCTGCACACAAAAGTCCAATTGAATAAATATTTCACTACCGATTATTTCCCTTTTTTTATCATTTCAACCAATTCAATATTTTATAAATACAAAATTTTTAATGGAATCAAGTATTCATCATTGTAATGTCATGATTGTAGTATGTTTTCGCGTGAGATCTGCAATGTAATTATAAAATGTGCAAGCCAAAGAAATAGAAGAAAGTTTCAAATGACATTGGTAACAAGCCCTAAATAAAATGAAACATTATATTGGTATACTTAAAAGGACTTTTTTACACAAATTTTAGAGGTACCGATGTCATCAACATACCGTAAATTTCCAAAATAAGCTGCTGTTGCGACTATCCATCTAATGTGCTTCATTTGGACAGGGCGAACTCACCGAGGGAGATTAGACTAGTTTTCTTGTGATGATTTTTTTGTTGGATTTCTAAAGAAATTGTGCCAGTAACTATGGATATTGTTGACGTAAAAGTGAGTATTAGCGTAGTATGGGAATAATTGGAAAAGGACACAGGGATTATATTATTAATAAAAAAATTTATTTTTTAATACTAGATTAAGGTTATTGTCAGGTTTCTCAAAATTACGATTTACAACTTTGAGCAAAGACTCTCCACGGTCAGACTATCCCATAAGGGAATCAACAAACAGCTATCAACGAAAACACGGTTTTCTTCTGGTAAAAGTGACAAGCTCGAAAAGTTAATTCTTCTTTAATTACTTTGAACTTTGTTTTATTTTCACTTGTTCTTTATTGAGGTTCAGGCGGGCCTAATTGTATTTTTTTGTGTACATGTTTTAGCACATGTTTGGTTATACATATGTTTTGTAGCAAATGAGCAAAAACTATACTCATTCGATTTTAGAAACATTCTACTAATCGGCCAAAATAGTGTTTTGGATGGTCAAAACAAAAAGCAATTCAAGCCGTTTAACCGGTTTCGCCACATATCCACCATATTTGCTTGGCAATACCTGAAAATTAACCACATAACACAGACGCGTTCTTTATTTCTTATAAGTAAAGCTTTGTTGATTGCCATTTTCTTTCCTCTCCTCTTTAATATTAAATATTCGCCCGCCTTTCTAATATTACTTCTGCTCACTAAAACATCATTTTTGGATCTCTAATGCATTCATACAATTTATGAAATATGAATTATTTATGCATTACTTATATGTTTAATTTGTATGAATTATTTATGGATCTTATCCATTCAAATTATGTCTTTAATTCTCAAGCTTCTTTAATTCTTGCTTCTAATTCTTAAATTCTTGTCTCTTAATTCTTTCTTGATTCAAGATTGATAACACATTTATTTTTATATTTCTAATTTATATGTTTATTTATATTGAACTTCTGTGTATATTTAATATAAACAAAATAATAGAATTTATTTCTAAAAGTTTAATAAAGAACAGACTTTTAATAACTTTTAAACTTAATTAATAATAATATATTATCAAATGAAATAAGTAAATTATATATGTACAAGCTCTTAAAATTCCAACAATTCGATAAATGTAAAGTTAGTATTCTTCAAAAAATCTTTGTATAACTTGAAAATATCTCTAATTAAGCGTGAAACTAGTGTTAAATATTGCAATTTCTAATTGACTATCTCTATTATATAATATCTATTTGTTAATAATCTTTAATTAAATTATAACTAGTCATAATTCAATTATAACTATATACAGTTCTTATTAAAAGTAATAAGAATTATATATTTATTTATATTTTACTAAAAAAAGAATAATAACATGATATAAAAAGATAAAAATATTATATTATTATATTATTATAGTAACTGTTATAAAAAATTAGTAATTAGTTATATATTTATTTCTTATTTATATTATCTTTATTCTATTTAGTATACTATCTACTAATCTCAAAAATACTAAAATTTCAAAATTATCTTATTTGAACTTGATAAATACTTTAAATATTTTATAAGTTATTTATTTTTTATATTTTAAAATATTTAAAAGATTATTATCTAAAAAAAATTATTTTAATACAAGTAATTTTTGATTTATTTGACATGTCTTTCTTGATCAATTAGATTTAATAATTATATAAATTTTAGCTAAATATATTATTAATCAAGTTCTATTAGTATTCTAATAATAGTTTGTTCTGAAATATTCAAGTTTGAATAGAAATTATTAAGTTATTCTGTAATTTTATTAGTGAAAAATTCATGAACTTTTTAAATAAAATTTTTTAATCTTTTTTTTCAAGATAATAATTTGACTGATCTGTTAAAATAGAAAAAGAAATTAATTTTATTATTTTTTTAATTTAGTTATATAATAATATGTATTTATTTATGATATATTTATAATTTTGGTCAAATATACTAATATATAAATATTACTTATAATTCTCAAAAAAACACTTTGATAGCAAGCAAGTGATAGTTACTTATTTTGAAATACTAATTAATAAAATTTTTAAGTTTAAATTAGAAAAAATATAATATTATATTGTATATCTATTCTTAAAAAAATATTAATATATTAGAAATATTATATAAGAAATAATAAAATAGTAAAATATTAAAAAGTTTGATCTAAAATTTCTATTACTTTTAATAAGAATTATAATACTTATTTATTATCTTATTAAAAATATTATTATTATAAAAAACTAGAATTAAGATAATCTAATTTGCAAAAAAATTTAAATTAAAAATAAGAATTTAATATATTATAATATAATTCTTTATAAAAATCTATAAATATATTATTACTTAGCAAAGAATTAATCTTTTTTTAAATTTTACTTTTTTATCTTATATTAATTAATTTATTATTCTTTGAACTAAGTATCAATCTTTATATATATTTTATTAATAATTAAAGAATATTCTTTATTTTATAATTTTATTTTTTTATTAATATTATATTTTTAAAAATTATATTATAAAATAAGAATATAATGAAAATATAAATAATATATAGAACAAAGAAAAGAATTATACTGAAATATATGCTAAAAATATTCAGATTTTATATAAATTATACTAAATAAAATGTGGTTTAATTTATATTTACTTGTATAGGATCAAAAAAAATTATATAATTTACTATTAGCTTATAAAATAAAAATATAGTTATTAATTTTTATCATAATTTTATATATATATCTATAGCTTTAGTTATCTAGTTTTAATAAATTTTATATTTTTTTAAATTATATCATCTCTTTCTATATTAGGATTACTTGATAATACTTATTATAGATTTTATCTTAAACTTTTAATTGCAATTTTAGAATAAAAATTTATTAAGAAAAAGAGTTATAAGCAATTTTTTTAGCAAAATTTTCTTAGATTATAATAAAATTTTAATACTTTGACTCTCATTATTAGAATATATATTTATTCATAATACTCTTAATATAATAATTATGTAATATAGTTATTACAGTGATAAGTATTCAGATAAAGAATTGTAATGAGTTAATAATAATAAATAATAAATACAAGAGTTACATGATATTATATTATTTTATCATAATATATATATATATAAATTGATTTTATTATTACTATAAATACAGTCAGTTTTAAAATATCAGAACAAATAATATTCCAATAATATAAATATTAATATGCTGATAAAAGATATTCTTATTCAATGCTTAATAATATTAATTAAGATTATCTTTTTGTAAAATTTTAATTTTTCCAGAATTATTTATAATGCTGCTAAATAATCACATAATATAAAATTATAACTTTAGCACTAGATGACTGGAACAGTACATCTAATGGTTGAACACAACGCTATGCAAGCAAATCAAATACATGTACATGTATTTGACACGTTACTCATATTATCCCGTACACTTTTCTCACACGTTACTCCCAGGTACAATTCAAGAAGAACGTGAATTGCGTGATTTACCAGGATATTTTATATTGATTTTCCATCGAAACAAAATTCAATTCGAAAGACAAAGATAAATGATTGACTGTCTTATACTGGTAATATCTCAAGCGTGATCCAATAATTTTTGATAGATTTAAGTTTAAATGAATGCATGGTAAATATGAGATTTCAGTTCAGACTCTCTTTATTATGATAAAAATATCATACATAAACTTATAAATAATACACGGTTATTATAAAATACAAAATAAAAATATCATATACATCATTTGAAAGTTAAAAATATTTCAAACGTTACTATCCAAAGAAAATTATTATGCTTAATACAAAGAAGAAAGAACCTTTATCCCTGGTCCAATAGTTGTGTCATCTATTTTCTGGTACAATATCTCGCAAATAATGCTTATTTAAATATAATTTCAAATTTTCGATATCTCTAGCAGTTGCTTGTATTTGATTTCTTAAATGACTCTGTGAGTCATTGCAATCGTTTTCATCGAGGATGTCTGTTGAATAAAATTTCTCTGATGATTGAACAATATCATCTGTAGTTAGTGGTGGTGGAACTGATTTGAGAACCTATAATTGTAAGGATAACGTTCATATATTAGTTACATTATAATTGAAGATAAAATATAATAAAATTCTATAAAATAAAATTATCCGTTACTAATTAAACTCACATATCTTTGAATTATACCCCATGGATTATGACGCCTCGATCCAAGTAAAGCGAAATAAAGTGCGCTTAGGATGCTCACAAAACCACCCATATTAGCAGTTAATTGAAAAAATGTGAATTCAATACGTTTATACGAGATCTCCACAGGATATGTTCGAGTGAATGTTGTTTCATCAAATTCATAATTTTGTGGAATAATTTGGAAAACACACCAAAGATTAGCATCATCACCAATCCCAGATAATCTCAAAGTTGTAAATGATGTCACTAATTCAACATCTGCAGTCGAATCAAAATCTGTATTTCCTATGCTTCCGCCAGTGATTGCGTCAATTTTAGCAGGTTGTTTTTTCTCGGTGCGTTTAAAATATAAATACGATATTGCAGGCTATTATTGAATAAAATAAATTGTATTGCAAAAGACCATTTTTTGTATTCTAGATAGAACATCACACTTACCATGTTTACTAATTGAAATTTAACTTTCCAAGGATTTTCCTTCTCATTAAATACTCCAAAATAATACCATTCATCATTTGTTATTGCTCCTTGCTTATAATTATGAAAATATAAAATTGATACGTTTATTTAATAAAAGGGAGCAAATATAATAAAGCTTTTACTTACCGTATTATTTGTTCGATGAGTCGACTTCAAAACCAAATATATTTTTTGTGTCGAATTATTAAACTTAAGTGGCTCCTTATCTGGTACATTATGTGAGTCTAAGATATCTTATATAATATAATATAGTTTTGATTTAGCCTATTCTTGTATTTACTTATTTAGAAAGAAATAATTTATATATATTTTGAAAGCTTACAGCAGTTTAAACTATCTGAATTCGGGAAACCACGCAAATTTCCAAATTCAGTAGCATCATTGCTTCCATTTATATATCCTTCACATGGGAGAACCTAAGTAATTCAAAAAGCATATTTAACGTATATTCAAATTAATTTTTCATGTGATCTACCTTGGTAAAATGGTCGTCAACTTCATTAAGTTTGCCCTTATAACATTGAACCTCTTGGTCTATGATTGTGCCGCAAATTACAATCCCAGGTACCTATTGTTAAATTTATTAATTATTTATCATTTTTCATAAAAATATATTTATTAATTATTTATCATTTTTCATAAAAATACTACACAATGCTTAAAACTAAAAACTTACAGGTATTTCAGCTCGACCTATATTTCTTGTTCCGATGATTACAGGTGATTGTATCGCTTCCACCATACGCCAAAAATTCCAAATACTATAACCCACGATCAAAAATCCAGTAAAGACTAAAATTATTAATCTTACTTTTCTTTCTTTAACACGTTGCATTTCATTATATACGATATTAATTTCTTGATGATCGTTCGAAGCCATGTTTTTATATAACGTCAATAATAATTTTAGCAATAAATATATAACTAACCCTTGAAATAAGAAAATCATTGGGTTCAATAAAAATAAACATTGCTTATATCTTATATAGAGAGTTACTTGTATTGACAAATCTTTACACGTGTAACTTTGAGACATTAAATAAAAATCAACGCCAGATTTGTATAACACCAAATCAGGTGTTACTTCTGTACGCAGATTTTAGTATAACGAATATCACTGACTGATATATTCTTTATGTTTTTTCTTTTTTTGGTAAAGGTCTACCTGAGTCAAGACAATTTACAATATTAGGGTAGCCGTGTACTAATTTTGTCCTGCTTATTAAAAATTATGAACTGTTGGCAAAAATACGATTAAGTTTTCTTCTTATCCTCTTTTCGACAGTTTATACATATATATATATATATGATTCTATAATGTTAATTATTTCAAGAAGAATGTTCGGAAGATAATATTTTATTTTAAATTACATGTAGTACAAAATACATGTATAAATCTTAGAATATAAAAAAATAATAAAAAAAACGTTGGGGTCATTCGAGTAATACAATAAATTTCTAATAAAACGTATTGCATATATACATGTACTAAGTCACACGATCGAAGTTTTACATAATTGTTTTTCTTTTTACAAGTATATCTCCCAAAGTATCAGCCCGATTCAAAATTAAAAATCCGTATACACAAAGTACAACTTAGTCTCACAATTAAATTTGACAAAATTTAAATTTAAAAAATAATAGACAAAAAACCTTATCATAAATGATAAGCTAATTAATTAAACAAAATTACATACTTAGGTTTTTACTAAATTGATTTTTGACAAAGTAATAAATTGTAAATTTGTGAATTGTAATCTATTATTATTATTATTATTATTATTAATAAAAAAATGTGTATTTATCTTCTATTTTGCCAAGTTTTCTTTTATTATTTGTAGTGTTTGCCAAAGAAGATGATCATGACAAATCAATGAGACATTACATTCAATTAAGATGGGGAGATATTTAAAAATTTAATATAAATATAGTAGGACCATTTTCCAGAACAAGAAATTAGAAATCGATATATTATAATGGTAATGGATTTATCTTATTAAATAGCTGGAAGCAAAGATGATTCCATATATATCTACTGCATTGCTACTGATATTCTTTTAAAATATCTGTTGTTGTTACAGATTTTCCAGAGAAATTATATCAAACTGGAACACAGCTTTTCTCAACTAGTTAAAAAGATGATGATAATAATATATGAGATTAATTATCTTCATATTACCTGCAAGTCAATAGACTGATAGAGAGGTTTAATAGGACTTTTTGCAAAGCATTAGAAAAATTTGTGAATGAGAAAATTAATCTTATTTGTTTACTGGATTATATATCAAGAGATAACAAAATTTTTACCTTATCTGTTAGCTTTTGGAATAACTGATCTTCAGTTGAATATAAAGAGAATAATATAGAATTTTACCTTCTATAACATTCTTATATGTTAACTGAAAAATTAGAAGTAGTTAAAAGACAAGCTAGGGAAAATATTGAAATATCACAAGAAAAACAGATAGAATAAAGTAAGATATCTCATTTCATCTAACAATTCCATATTATAATCATATCTTTTCTATCATATATAATTGAAGAAGTAGTAACTGTTTATTATATATAGTGCTCTTGAAAATGACATCTGCAAATTCAAATTCTTCATAATGAAGTTTATAGAAAAGATTAAAAAAATATTATATTCTCAATAAGCCAGTAAAAATTATGGTAGTCATGATATTAGAAAGAATTCTATATTAAAAATAATAAGTAATAATTAGTAAAATTTTGATGGTGAAATTATCATCTTACAAAGAGAAAAAATAATAAATCATCATATAATATATATACTTCAGTCATAATAAAAAAAGTTATGAATAAATAATTGAAAATCTATTTGATTAGCTAAAATCTGATCATCTTTTAATTAGTTAAAATTAAAATTAAATTCTAATTGACTTATATCTCCAATCTATTTTTTAATAAAAATAAAAGGATTATAAGTTTGTATATAAGCAAAGCTGAACTTTTCTTATTTGAAAAAATTTTTTATAAAATAGATTTTTAATTCTGTTAGTTATGAATCATATTAATTATAAGAAGTAAATCAATCAAATAGCAGGATCAATATATAAGAAAAAATTCAAAATAAATATAAACAAAAGTAAAAATTGAAAAATATATAGTAAATTCCTCTGTTAATTCAAATTTTCTGTTAATTTAAACTATTTTCTCAAAATATTTTCATATATAATAAGATTATCTCACTAATTCAGATAGTAATAGTAACTCTATTATAAATTATAAACTAAAAATCTTGCAGATAACAGCTATATTAAATTTACTTTAACAATTCAGTTTTTTTATAAAATTATATATGCATATATATACTTAAAATATATTTAGCTTTTGAAGTATACTTTATATTTTCAATATATTTTTGTGTAAAAAATAAGCTCAAAATAAATACTTGAATATTCTGTAGTATCCAGAAATATTAAAAACAGAAACTTAATTGAGTACTTCTAAAAAAGAAAATATATTTACTTATCTTGAATTAAAGAATTAAAATATACAAGATAAAAGTAAATAATTCAAATATAAAGAATATTAAGCTAGTAACTCAATATAATATTAATGAATTACTAATATCTGATATTTTGAAAAGAAGAAAATATTACTTATCAATATAATCAAATGAATATACAGAAAGCTTATAATAAAAAAGACTATTAAAATTTCCAAGCATTAAGCAAGTACTGGCTCTTTGAATTAATCAAGTAATAAAGAATAATTATATATTATCTGAATATATTGTTATTATCAAAGCTACAGATTTTACATAGTATCTCAATATCACTGAGTTCAAATATTTATATAAATGATTAAATAGGTTTAAGAAGTATTATTAATATATAACAAATATACTTAATATGATAAGACAAATTTAGTATCATTAGATAAACTTTCTCAATATTATTTAAACTTCAAATTTGCTAATTGAGTGGAACTTGAAGAATGTTATAACTGTAATAAGATAGCTCTATATTGAAAGCTTAAGTCTTCTAAAGCTCTGGCTCACTATTCAATTACAGAAATAAAAAAGTCTAAAGATAATGCTAACTTATAATATAATAGATATATCAAAGCTAATATCAGTCTTTATTTATAAATATAAAACTTCCAGATATATATAAAATATTAAGTATAATAAGTTACCAGTTCATTACTATTGACATAAATACAGAGTTCTATTTTTTCTAATTGACTTAGACATCTTAATACAAAGTTACAGATATTATAGTACAAAATTTTGCTTTTATTAAATAATATTATAATATATATACTGGATAAGAATATTTTATTTTTTAAATATTATATTATATTATCTTTTACCAAATACAATAGTATATTTATAGCTATATAATATAAATATTATCTATCCTTTTAAGATAAGTATTTTATATGAATCTTTTTAACTTCACAAATACTAATCTTATTATTAGTCTAAATATTATCAGATTTTATATAAAGACTGAATTAATATATATAATGCATATATTCAGATAGATAATTTTATTCATGATCTTAATATACTTAATATAATTCAGTTTGCTAAAGATGCATAAGAAAATATTAATTTAATGATAATTGCATTATGCTGGAGAAAGACAGGAATTCTTTCATCATTACCAGATAATATTAAAGATTTTCTTAAGTTTCCAATTGATATTAAAGATAAAGAGGAAACTGTTCAGCATTCAATTAACTATCTTCAACCAGAAAGTTCTTTTACAGCCAGAGAATACTTGGATATTGATCTCACACTACAAATAGAAAACAAGCTATATGATGAGATAATAATTGCTTTGGTTTAAGAGAAAGAAGTAATTGAAAAAGATGTAGAAATAATCACCGAGCCTATAATAACATCAGCTAAAGTTGTAAAACTAATTGATAAACTACCAAGCTTTTTGATACATGAAGAAAGTCATGTGCAGATAAGTGAAAAATGTCTCTGGCATTAATAATTGATTTAGACAATGTTCTTTTAATACTTTTCAATTTGCAAAGTCTAAACAAATATTACAATTTATTTGAAGCCATTGTCTAATACTTAGGAGTTTTATTCTGCAAATATTATTTTACAAATAAATTTGGTTTTTTTATAATGGCCAATGCTTGACACTATCAAAACTGTTTAGTTTGCATAAATGTGCATTGATAAGTAAAAAATTGTTAATATCGTACATTAAAATGCGTCGCATTCTCTTTATCGCGTATGCTGTCAAAATCCTATCCCGTTAATCGGAAGAATTATAATCTGGTTATATGATCTTCAATTATGCAGCTACCCCACCAATCCGAAGACCCCGCTAAGCCGAAGAAAAGTCACTCTACGGACGACTTCGGAACGACGGGATTCACTGTATAGCTTGTATCTAGAAATTTTATCTATGAAACTATTTTCTATATTCTAAAAAAATGTTCCTTGCGAAATTTTACTATACATTTGTGCACGCAATCGACATTATAATCATAACTATGACTCTAATCCTAATCTTAATGAAAATGTTATTAACATTTCTAATCATAATTTGATTGGTTTATCCCCTAAAAATCATATGATCCGTAACTTTTTTCATCATCAGAATCAGATCTCGTGATTAGTAAAATTAGCAAAGCACGGGATTAGTGAAGTTAGTAATATGCAATTGGATGCGGCGATGCATCAAAGTCATAATTGGTCTGATATTGAGTATACTAATAAAATCCTGAATACAATAAGACGCTGACTAATGAATCAAAACAAAAATGATTCATAGTCTGGGCGTCACAATAAAATGGGATTGCGACGAGAAAAATGGGATAGGAAGAATAGTTAGCGGTAGAATTAGTTCAATAGAACAATAGTATTAATAAATAAATTAGATATTT